TGAAGTGGTTTAGCTTCAAATTGAAGGCAATTTACCATGTAGCAGAATATACATTCTTCCCTGTGCTTCTTGACAATGATCTGCTGCTGAAGCAGTAAATGTTCAGAGTTAGTCGCATACTTTAAATTGAACTCTATCAATTTTGTCTTCAACATGTGCCATATTTATCATCCAGGTGAAACAAACTCTGACTTTGGGATTTGACTGAAGAGTGGGACGTCCTGCTCATTGACACCATCAACAAGCTTGTGGACAGAATGCCATGATGTCTTAACCCATTGATCCATGTCAGGGGCGGCCATACTCAATATCAGTGACTGAGAGACATTTAAGATTAATATTTAACATTTTAATGCATGAAATCCCCTCAAATATGTGTTTCCTGTTATATGACCAAGGTTGAAAAATTGAAACTAAACTCTTCATCCTATTGTTCAATACCCAACATTTTGTTTAATCCTGAATACACAATTTGAAAAATTTAATTGTGTTTTCATTTTTACTGTGATATGTATTGTATTGATATGTATGTTGTGATAGCAATAAAGTTTTGAGAAGATATACACTTTATCTATCGAGAATATAAAGCATTGTCACAATCATTTCATGAGAAGAGGTAAAAAGTATGTTATTCCAACTACATGGGCAACAGTGTATATGCATACATATTTAATTTTTGTACTTCTTCTACTGCTAATAATATTTTTTTCATAGCTTTGTTGTGGTGTTAGTACTTTCATACAAAATAAAAATGTATGTTGAATTCATGTTTATTTTAATGTAACATGTCACATGTAATTATACACAGAGTAGATTTAAGTTTTCATGCTTTTTACCAGTTGCCTGATAGTAGAACAGCGTTCATAAATAAACAACTAAGCTGATCTCAAAGGTCATCGTCTTGTCCTCTTGTTTCAGTTTTGCTGATGTATTCAGCTTCCACTAGTGTTGTGTCATGTTTGTGTTACCCCACAATAAAGATAGTTGTCAGGCTGGGCCGCCGCTACAGCTCACCTGGTTGAGCTGGCGACCCATGTACAGGGGCTATAGTCTCTGATGCAGCGGCCATGGGTTTGAATCCTGCTCATGGCCCTTTGCTGCAACCCTTCCCCCATTCTCCTCCCCCACTTTCCTGTCTCTCCTTCAACTGTCCTATCTAATAAAGGCAAAACAGCCACAAAAATAACTTTAAAAAAAAAGATAAGTTGTCAGGCAGATGCATATTTAAAAGTATGTAGCAATAAGTATATAAAGGGAATATATTTAAGTTATACACACAATGTGCCATTTCTTTTACTTTTTATCTTTTTGTAGCCCTGAAAATTATCATGAACATCGTAAGCAGTGCAAATTCTTCGCAGCTTCAAAAACTCCTGTCAAGAGACTCCTCTATAGGTTGTCACCTTCATAATGGGAAAGGTGTGCGCTGCTCTTTTATTCACACAGAATATGTATGTGTATTTAAAATCCCTGGAGAGATGATACATTAAGTAAAGATTTTTCTTTACAGAGCAAACATGACAAATTGCATTAAAGAATTTTATCAGATTACCACAAAAGACCTTCTGAGGATTTTAAGTTCCTTGACAAATATTTGCTTGACCTGTTGAGACCTGGGATGGTAGCTTATGATCTGATGATGGGAGACTTTCTGGATAAACTTGAACATGTGAGCGAGGGTGTCTGACGTTAAAAACATAGAGCTTATGCGTTAGTTCAGACAAGCACGGAGTCAAAAGGCCCTCTCTGTCCAGTCGTTCACTACGTAAGTCCAGCCTACCTACTTAGCGTGCTTTATAACTGAGGCAGCATTCATTCATTCTGCCCGCTCCATGCTCACCACATCGCTGCTACACCAGCCTCTACAGATCGACAAATTCCCTTCTCCTTCCTTTTAAAATTTTGATTTTATAACTCTGACTGTTTCTCATATTGCACAGGACTGTAGAACACAGATGGTTCATAATTGCACTTTGAAACCATGTAAATTGGATTTTGTAAAATGAGAACCACTTAAGTTGGTCTCCTTGTTTTTGTGTTCATACTGTATCATTTGAACATTGTGAATTTAAGGCTCTACTGGGGGTTTGTGATCTCAGGGACTGTCTGTGTCATGCTTACTCAGATTGTTCCAGAGCATCCCTCGAGCAGAGTCACCGCCAAACTCAAATGCATGTGATTCCAAATGAATGGGTCAATCTGACAAAGCGTCCTGTCTGAAATGTCAAAGTTGAGAAAAAATGATCGGTCTTCAATTCAACCTCCAAACCTTGAGCCCTTGCTATGTTAAGCATCCTAAGGAGCCATACGTCAAGGAGTGATCAGGAGTGAATTCAAGTACAGGCACAGATACAGCAGGCAAACTTTAGTCAAGAGGATTCACTGCAGGGTATGTGAGTAATAAAAAAGGGCCTGAGATTCAGGAGGAAATGAGTCCACAAAAAAGAAACAAATTCGTACAAATCCATCCAAACACAGGAGGCACGTAGACAGGCAGGTGAACAGAAGGTAGACAGAATACAAGGTAACCAGAGCAGCGATGACCAACAGGTGGCAAACATGCTGGAAATCTAGAAAGCAAAATAAATGAAGGGTCCAAAACAAGTAGACGCAAGGCGAGAGGCATGACCACTCTGAAGGGCAACCCAGAAGTGGAACAAAAAGGTGAAGCCGCACAGGGGGACGGCAGGAGACCAGTGACGGAGACAGAACCCTTCGGGAGCCCTAGCATTAGGCTGGCATTGCAAGCAGAACTTCAGAGGTGGATGAGCCAGATACTGATGGGTCCGAGCAGGTAGGGAGGACGGATGTTTCTCGAACTGGGGTGTGTCAGGTGACTCAGACTCAGGAGCAGGGAAGAGGTCAGGTGACTTCCAGTCGGGAGCAGGAAAGAGGTCAGGTGACCTACAGTC